AAAGGCACTCAAAGAAGAGACAAAATATATTGAACTCGCAAAGAAAGCACGAAAAGACAAGACAACAACTGAATGAAGTGCAGACAGCACTGTCGAAGAAGAAAAAATATGTTAAAGACACAAAGAAGCAAATTCAACAGTCAAAACAAGTGTGAGAAGAAGTGCCGATAGTATTTAAAGGTGAGGTTGATCAAATACTGGAGACAAAGGCTGAAATATTAGGACTGGAGAAAACACTGAAAGTGGGGGGAAAGTTGTGTGTCAACAGAGTTATTCAGTTGGTAGAAAATGTCCTTAGAGAACACTCAGCCTGACAGTATACAATGAACTCCATGACAGGTGGCCTCCTCCAATACTCTTAATGAAGTCAAGTGACCCAATGGTTGATTAAGTATCATCAAAACCTTTAAAAAAACATGCCAAATTGAAGAGACAAAATATGATCACCCTAAAATTTAACTGACACGCGCACGCGATTATGTGACAAAACTCTTAAACTGGCTTAAAATATTAATTTAAATTGTGCATCTAAATTGAATTTTAAAACTAGAGTGGTTGAAAATAACCACTCTTCTTCTCCCATCTTCCTTTCCTCATCGCCAAGTGGCCATGGCAGATGCCACCCCGTGCTAGAGCCTGATTCTGCCGGAGGTTTCTCTCTTTTAAAAGGGAGTTTTTCCTTCCCACTGTCACCAAAGTGCTTGCTCTTCGGGGGTTGGAGTTTTTGTGTATTTTTGTAGGGTCTTGACCTTACAATATAAAGCACAATATAAAGGAAGTGTTGTTGTTGTTTGGCGCTGTTTCTTAACTTAAAATGTCCAATTACAACAGGACATTTTAAGTTAAGAAATAGCGCCAAACCACAAAATTAAATTAAATTAAATTAAATGAAAAAAGCTTTGAATTTGTGCTTCGTTTCATTTGCTATAAATTTGCTAAAAATGTAATATCAGATTAGAATAGTGTGTCTCAATATAATTTATCATTGGTCTACAGGATGATGCTGTGATACATGATACATTTGAAGTAGATGTCATAGTAATGTCTTTCTGTATGTGTGTACAAACCAGTGGTGAAAAGACACCAGAGATACGCAAAGAATAACTGATGTTTGAGGTTAGCTGGTTAGATTCGTCTAGATATTCTACTTCCTGTGTTCTATTGGAAAGGACCGATTGTATGCTTTGCTAACAACTGCAAATGTGACAAATGTGTTACAATAACTATGTGTGTTGTTTTAGCAGCAATAATATTAAATGAAAAAACGCTGAGAATGACTAGTTGTCACAGTCTGGCGAGGGCAGACTGTATGAATCGAAAAAGGACCCAAAATGCAGACTCCAAGGAACAGGGAACAAAACTTGAATGTTAACAAAAAGCGAGCCGTTTAATATGGCTGGTAAAAAAGGTACAAACAAAGGGCAAGGCAAACTGAAGCAAAATTAACACAAACCTAAACTGGGAAATCTAAACAAACAATAAGAAAAACCTAGACAAGAAACTTGGAAGCATGGCATAGGAAACATGGCGTGGACAACAGACGACCTGACAATCACACACTGAAAACAGAGGACTTAAATATACTGAGGGATAACGAGGGGGAATGAGCCACAGGAGGAGAGCACAGCTGAGAGTAATTAAGCAGGACGAGGCAAGGACGCAAAACTAGAAACACTCACATGAGACATGGACCTTCAAAGTAAAACAGGAAACACACTGACTGAATTCTAAAACACGCAAACTTAACAGCAACTGGGGGGACAGAACATAGGAACCTGAAACATGGCACAAAACATCACAGTGGACATAACATGGAACACAGGGAAGCCATATAACAAAGCCAAAGAACTAAACCTATGATAACCATAACTGAGATCTAGGGAAACAAGAAACAGTATATCAAAGGACTCAAAACATAACCCATAATATAAAAGCACAGGATCTCTTCCAAATAAAATAGGAAACATAATGAGACGCAGACATGACAACCAGAACTTAACGTAAGACACAGACATGAAACACATGAAGAGCAGGGGAGATTTACCATAGTTGGAAACACGAGGGGGAAATAATAACTAGAAACACTTAGGCATAATAATACAAACTTGATAACATAAGAAAACACAAGGAGTCTAATAACCAAATGAACTTAGATAACCTAATGAACAAAATAAACTCAAACTTAAAACGCTGGGTCAAAAGACCCAGGACCATGACACTAGTAGTAGGTGACACTGAATGCTTGCCGGGTGATGAACCGTTACTACCATCTGATTGTGTGTTTTCTACCATAAACTGAGAAGCTACACTTTGTATATTCACCAGAATAGAGGAAATAAAGTACCCAGCGTTCAAAATTCTCCTAAACTCAATTTAACCTGTCCACGGTGCTCAAAAAGATGTTTACTCCCATGGATGACTCTTATTCAGAAAAATCTTTTAGTGATCATCAGTTTCTTTGGCTGAAGAGACTGAAAGTTTCCCTGGAAAGCAGTTTCAAACTGCTTTAGAGGTCCTTCAGGATATTGGGATGAAGCGGTGCTCTGGAGATACAAGGGAAAAGACAGATGTGGAAACAGCTGAATCAAAGAGCCATTAGTGCTCTGATTGCACTAATAGTTATAGCTTGTGGTCAGCTAATTCAAAAATGGAATCCAAAAAGCATTTGTATCTCTTAAAGTGCAACCGAGATGCAGATAAAATGTGAATCCTTAGAAGAGCGACAAAGTTTTGTCTTCTGTTGGAGGTAGAGCCTTTTCTCTAATGTGTTTCCTTTCAAATCTTAAAAAAAAGAAAAAGAAAAAAGGAAAGAGGAAACAGGATGAATAGACGAAAGAGGGTTGTGTGTGGAATTTGTTAGGAGGGAGAAAGGGAGGGGTGGTGGTTTGTTATATTGCTTAATCCGGGCAGCACGGTATCACACACTAACACCATCTGTCACCATTTACATAGGAGTCAGCTACAGAACTGGGCTGCTGGGTACTGACGGGCACCGGGCGGCTGCTGGAGGGGAAGTCTGTGTCAGTGAGGTGGTTACGCCCGTGGTCTGTGTACAAACCGTCGGGGTGTGCGTGTGTGTGTAGGGGTGGGGGGTGAGTGTTACTGATTTGGCATCGGCAGCAATCCGATGTGCGCTCAGTGAGGAGGATGCTGAGGAAGGAGAGGCAGGGCGAGACACGGTGATGCGGTGACACATGGCTGCCTGCCGGTGCACTTAGACTGCGGCTCACACTTCTTTCCATTCACCGAAAAATAGGAGAGGCTGGACTCCGGGTTGCCTAGAGACGCTGCTCGGAGGCTGGAGGCTGCCGCAACCGACAAACGAGCTGTGGAAGCCCCGCACACTGCTGATCGGACAGCCTGCTGATCCCTTTGGTAAGCCCAATTCTGGCTCCACCTGGCATTACCTGCAGCATTTTAGCATCGCAGCTGCTGTTGCTAATATAACCACAGTACCACAGTAATGCCAGTGTAGCAACAATTGTTCTCCTTTTCCATTCAGACGTCTCATTGCGCAAACTTAAGCGTCACACTTGGTTCCAGAAGGTGTATTACTCATGGCATTATTTATTAATCTCTCAATTTAACAACAGTCAGCCTATCCAAGGTGACATTCATTAAAGTTTTTTTTTTACCCTCGGATGTTAAATGCAATACTTCATGTTTGTAAAACTTGATTTTGAACGTGTTCAGTTTGTTTGTGCTCTATTTCTAACTTTCAGCTGAAGTTACATTCAGTATTCTTTTGGTCTGTGCGGTGCAAAGCAAAATATATTTCTGGGGAATAACAGAAACAGCAGTGAAGAATATGCCTTTAAAAGTACTCAAGGAAACCGAGACTGAATGAAAAACGAGGACTTTTAATGTAAAATGAGTAACCCCAAGCTTTAAACGTAATTTTGTGTGAATCAAAATAACTTTTAAAGGGTAGCTTTGCATGCTTTTTTAATTTCGATTAATAAACGCATGTTGTCCTGTGGCTTCTTTTGTATGTCAATGGCATTAGACAAAACATAAATACACTACTCGATCCTTTTAATGATTACATTCCATTTACATATTATTTCATGTCACTTTAGTGTGGTTTAAAACAATATTTCTGTAAGGCGATTTTTTATTTCCACTATATTGGCTCTACAACGTACTGAGATATTTGGCCTTGCCGAGCCGCCGTAGAGATGGGAGATAACATGTCCAAGCGACTGAAGCTGATCTCGGCTACAGACGCAGAGATGGAGGAGCGCTCTTTTTCAAACCCATATCCCGACTGGGACCAAGGAGTCCTCACCTCCAACTCAGGAGCGGATGTAGTTTGCAATGACTCCCTTGATTCGGAAGGAAAGGTGAGATGTTTTCCCTCACTTTGGTTTTCACATCTGCTAACAGAAAGTAAAGCTAGCGTAGCCCAGGCTTGTTGTTGATACTACGGGACTGTTACGGTGTGGGAGTACCTGACATTGAAAGGGGTTCGTTTATGTTAGCGCATATAATGTCTTAGCTGAGGTTTGCGTCTGTCATCAGTCTAAATGCAATAATATTACAAAGCTAGTCACTTTTTATCAAAGTAAGTAAAAAATACAATTGTTTTTTGTTTGTTTTTTAGTTTCCGCGTCTGGGTCCTCTGGGTACACATATTACAGTACAGTAATAATCGGTGAAGCTGGTGTTATGGTCTGAAATGACAGTCAGATCTTGGAGGTTTCTTTCACATAAACAAAAAATAAATAAATCTGCAATTAAATTCCACATATTTTTTCCCACTGACAGGTATGCTTCACCAAATATAATCGTATCGTAAGTTTGGTAGTCAAAGTCTAATTTTAGGTTGTTTTTGAATCCTGCAAGTGAAAGTAACTATTTTTTTCATTGGCTCATATGAAGATGGTTTTACCCAACAAAATAACTCATCTCCAGTGTTTTTAGGTCATAGAACAGAATATAGAATATAGAACATTCAACGTTACGTCGTCTGTTTTTAAGTTATTCAAGTTATTATCTTTACATCTTTATACATTTTATTAAATTTATACCTTTAATATAATTTACCTCTGCACTCTTATTCCTGTCTTTTAAAAACAAGAAAAATATTAAGAGTTTGGAGTTGGTTACAAAAAGAGAGAGAGAGGAGCTTCGGAAAATACCTGGATTTCAATTTTCTGGTCGTCAATGAATTTTCAAGAAGGCTCGTTTGCTGTTATGTTGAGCTTTTTGTATTTTCACTCAAAGCTTGGCTGCTGTAAATGTGTATTGGCATTTTGAAGACTGTATTCACCATTACAGACATATAGTTTACCTGTTATAACACATTTCTCTCTCTGCATTTTGCATCTGTAATGTTGTTGTATTATTTCGCAACCACGTCATGAATTCAGTAAGACTTATTAGATACCCAAAGACTGCCCAGAGACTTTATGATTCTGTGAAACAGAATTTAACAGCTCCAGAAGATCAAGAACGTAGCAACTTATCAATTTGTTGCGGTAATTGTGAAACTATGTTCAGAATATGTGCATGAACATACTCGCACAGGATTGGCTGAGACGCTGTACACAGCCGTTTGCTGACTGGCAGTGCCTGAAATTAGTCTCCAAGGCGACTGTTGTTGTGATTTGGCGTTATATAAATAAAAGTGAATTGAATTGAATATTCACTGCTAACACCAGGTGCACTCGCTCCTTGTGTTTCCTACCTTTACTCATGTTGTGGTCCATGATATCATTCAGCTGTCTCCTCAGTAAGTATTTTGACCCACAATAAGACAAAAATTCAAGTCCAGCATCGTGGACTGCAGCAGTTGGAATGCGCTTCGTGTTCATTGAAATTCAACAACAGGAACAGGAACATCAGGCAGGCTTAAATATCCTCAAGTATTTTTTTTAATTTAATGGCATTTGCCAAAAAATCTCCAGATATAGAAATTTACAAATATTTGCTAAAATGGATCCATTACAGATGTTTGCTAATGAATTGTAAACACTGTTGTATTGTGTTGAAGTCAGAGCTGTAGATTTTTGTGTCACCGTCATTAAAGGCCTCATTCTCCTCTTTGGCTGTTCTGAAGATTCCATTGTTATGCAGAACAGCACCATCTATTCATGTGTCTGTCACTGTGTTCTTTTCCTTCACCATCGAGCTCCTCGTCGAGCTGTTGCAGAGCAGAGAGAACAGACAGCCTTGGTCACAGTTCTCTCTGGTCAGGCTCTGACGCTCAAAGCCTCACCAAATATTGACTTTCAATCTTTTTTGTTGCACTTAAATGTTTCAGTTCATCAAACAAATTTAAATGTTAGACAACGATAACACGAATAAACATAAAATATAGTTTCTAAATGAAGGTGTTTGTTATTAAGGGGGGAAAAATCCAAACCTACATGGCCTTGTGTGAGAAAGCAGTTTGATTCAGAATTCTGCCCTGCCCTACTTTTCAGCGCATTCACGCTGTAGGTGATTCTGTGTGAATGGATTCTGTAGAGAATTAGTTCATTTCACATCCACAAGCAAATCAGCCTTTAAAGCGTGGCCTGACCCATGATGTTAAATTAGTAAAAAATTGGGCCTTGTGGAAAACAACCTAATTAACATTTGCTTAAATGATTCCTAATGATAAGAAGATTGGACCATGAACATCTGAGCATTTATTAGATTTGCCACTGCTGGTATTAGCAGATCACATATAGACATTGAGCTTGCTCAACCTACGTGGATGAAAACATTAGATATTGTTCTAATCCTGACTTGGGAAACTGAATTGGGTGTTTGTGATCGATTCGACTTGGTGTCAACAGCAGAGAAAGGAGAAAATGGCACGACTGTGAGCATATTCAAAATAAAAAGTTACTCATCTGAAATGAAACTAAGCTGAACAACACACTGGTTTTTTTTTCACTTCTCATTTTATTTATTTTACCAAGACATTCAAATTCAGTAAATGTATGATCTTGGTACATTTATTTGTTCCATTTTCTTTTACAGCATCAGGAAAGCAATGTTTATGTCCAGCCTAATGTTTCTTTACTGTCCCAGTCTCTGCGATTCGTATCAAATCAGTACTCAGCAAAAGCCGATACCCATACATTTATGTCCTTGACTCAAGACAGCCTAACTCATTCATTGCTGTGTATAAACAAGCTTAAATATGATTCTGTCTCCCAGTGCATGTTACTTTATCTTCCTGCTGCTCCCTCCCTCCTCTGTTGTTCCATCTGTGCTACCACAGAATCAGCATTTAGCTTTATAGCTGATGGATAGTGCAGCTCTTGAGTCTGACAACTTGGAGTTTATAAATGTATTCTCTCTTCAGGTTAGCACATCCTTTCAGAAGAAGGTCCAGAGTAAGATCAAAGATCTCCTCCAGCAGATGGAGGAAGGCCTAAAGACAGCCGACCCCCATGACTTCTCCACCTACACCGGCTGGACAGGTCTGTCCCTGACTACTCTAAAAATGTGAAGAGAGCACAGTTCTGTTATCCATCCACCCAAAAATATTCTCTATTTTATACGCTTAGGTCCATTAGTGTTTGGACAACGACAAACACTAATGTTCTCTCTGTACACAATTAATAGATATTAAATTAACAGTTAACACTGAACTGAAATGCAGACCTTGAACTTTGATTTAGGGATTTAACAAAAGTATTGCAATAAAGGAATTGCAGATATTTTTTGTACATAGTCCCCCATTTACAGAGAAAAGTTTAGAGGTTTAGTCTAAAGTTCAAATTAATAATGACCCAAAATATGTTTCAAAAGCAACCCAAGAGTTTATTAAGGCAAATAAAAAAAATCAGTCATTACCATTGACCTTATCTATGGTTTACATGATTTACAGTAGAGAGAGCGTTTTAGTTAATGAAGATAAAACTGGAGCCAGAGAGAGGATGTGCTGCAGTGTTTGGTGGCACGTTTGGTGATTTCTAGACTTCGGGCAGTCACTGGCTGCAAAAAAAATAAAATCATCCAAGCGTTAAGAACAGGGCTTACATTTGTCCTGTAACTGAAAATTAGGGACTACGTACAAAAATGTCTGTGGTTAGTGGAATACATCTGAATTAAAACTCAAAGTTGGTTCTCAGTCACATCTAGACTGTTTGATTTAAAATCCACAGTGGTGGTGTGCAGTCATTGTCCAAATACTTATGGACCTAACTGTGTCTTTTCTTTTCACTGCAGGCATTGCATTGCTGTACCTTCAACTGCACCGGGTCTCAAATGAGGCCTCCTACCTGCATAGAGCCCTAGACTACGTAAAGAGGACCATGAGGATCCTGAATGGGCGCAAAGTGACATTTCTATGTGGTGACGCAGGGCCTCTGGCAGTGGGTGCGGTGGTCCACCACAAACTGAATAACACGACTGACAGCAAAGAGTGTCTGTCCAGGTTAGACGGATTGCTTGAGATGCTCGATCTTTATCTGAAAGAGTAGCAGAGTCTCTGGTGAAATGGTACTGCTACTGTGCACTATATAAACCCCATATATACAATGAAGATTTAGTCAGTGACACAAGTGTAATTTGGCATCCATACAGACAGGATAGCTTTCCCAGCCCCATGTAGGCTTTGATGGTAGGCTATTTCCGGTTTTGCTTTGGAGTGTGTTTGTTTTTGGGTCACCCCACTGGGCGGGCAGTGTGAACAAGCAAGTTTGTGAAGGTAATGACTTCAGAACGAAGCAATAAAGAAGCAATGGAAGCTGCCAGTATTTTTTTTTAATTGACAGCACATTCCCTGAAAGGCCCGTGTGGTAGAAAGGACCTGAAGCACACAGTGTTATGGACACCTGACTGACTTTATTTACGATTTGTTTCTTGCTCATGCAGCTACTCTTCCAGCTGCCTCATTCCATGCGGCACAGCTCTCCCATCAGGTCCCAGTATCCTACTGAAGTAGGGCAGGCATGGTCAGGTGATGGAGAACAGCTTTGTGGGCCAGCCTCCCCTGACACAACAACCTGAACCTACTTCTTTACTCCTGCCACCTCATACCCCCATTGCCCGACTCAGGGCGCCATCCAGCTTAGCCTTTGAAGAGGGAGTCGACCCTCCTCAGGCACTCCTCCACCGTGCTGTACTTGGCCTCCTGTTCTGTTTCCTGGTGATACAACTGGGCAGTCGGGCCCTTCTTTACCTACTGGGACAAAACTACCCCCAGCCGTCTGTTTGAAGCTGAATAAAAAGGAGAGACAAGTTAGGAGTGTGAAGCAGGGGTTTGTTTATCTGTACGACCACCCCCTCGCACTGCTATAGCCACTGGACCAGTTCTGGGGCTTCCTTTCGGGTGAGATCAATCAAGGAAATGATCGGGTCCACAAAGCCAGGCACAAACTGATGGTAGTAACCAGCCAGCCCCAAGAACTGTCTCACCAGGATACGATGGCTATTTTTTGAGGCAGAAATGTTGGAATTTGGCACCTTCAGCCCCAACTCATCTCTTTTGTTCACCAGGCTCACCATTGTAGTAGTTTCAGCCTCTCTCCATGCTTGGAGGAGTTTGAGGTGATATATCTGTGGGGCTCCTCCCCTGTCTGATTGTACCACCTCATAGTCAGCGTCCCCCGCTCACCACGGAGGGAGTGATACAAGCCCTTTATCTGCTGGTGGAAATTGAGTCTAGCCCTTCTGTTGCACAAGTGGTGCGACTGTTGTTGTGATTTGGCACTGTAATAAAATTGAATTGACTTGAATTAAGGGATGCGTAAGGCATGGGATTTTTGCGTATGTCTGCATGCACACACGACAGTTGATACTCCGCTAGTGTCACTGCTGCCTCCAATCTTGTGGGCCGGTGGCGACGCATCCACTCTGCCATTCTGGCTGGGAGCCTCTTCACAAACTGCTTAAGCACCAACCAGGCGCTCCTTCCCCTCCTCAGGGCTGGGCCACAGCCACCTGGACACCGTGTCACTGCCTGGCATAGGCGAACAGCTAGTCATCCGATCCCCTATGAAGCTTTGATGGTGGTCCTCCAAGGCGAGCTTCATCCGATCTACAATTATATGCCGGACATCCACAAAATGGCCCCGTGCCGTCGCAGGCAAGCTGAGAGCCGCCAGCTGAGCCTCCCCCCACGGTCTTGGTCATGGCATGAAAAACCTCCAAGAAGGCACTTAGGATATTTCATCTTTGATCGTATGCTCACATTGGAGAGCTATGTTGAAATTGTAATCCTGAGGTAAAATCCGATATCATGGATACTAGAAGACCACCAAGATAAAATAATGAGTGTGTCAGTAAGAATAATACGGGGTTTTTAAAATTCCTCAACCAGTGTATTAATCCACATTTGCTGGTGCTGTGAGGAGCTGCAGTATTTGCGGTCAGGATAGTGAATGAATATTATCCCCCATGGCTCAGGTGGAAAACAAATCTGTGCTTGATCCGTACCCCAGCCTCATGCAGTGATTGTTGTGTTTCTCCATCAGGCTTCTTCAGCTTCAGCGGTCTGTGCTGAGCCCAGACTCTGATATACCAGATGAGCTGCTGTATGGTCGTGCTGGATACCTTTATGCTTTGCTGTACGTTAACAAAGAGATCGGCACTGACGCTGTGGATGAGGACACCATTACAAAGGTGAGACTTGCACATGTCATATGTGCTTTTTCAGATTAATAATGATAAAGACATGTCTGACAATGTTATGTCACGTTGTTTGTTAACATTCTCCATGTTTTGCGAGGGTATTCTGCTCGTGTATGGTGTTGTAAGCAACACTGTACTGAAGTGTTCAGCCCTGAATTGGCTCATTGTCACCAATATCTGATCCAGCTTTTTGAGGGAGGATAGGATTCATATTAATGCTCCAGATACCTGATCTATGCAAATCAGGATAAATTCCTTATTTGTCCTTAAACTTCATTTTGAGACAGAAATCTTCATAATGCTGCATTTTGTTTACGCCACATAAACGTAGTCACCATGCTGTCACTTAGGTCGCACACAACCCTTTAGTTACTGGCCTGTTGAATTTTTGGAGCCACAAGTAATCATAGTTAGACTGAAAGGTGAAGTACTGAGTTATCAGTTTGACCAGTGATGTACCAACACCTGTAGAATTAAATGATTCCCAACAGAGGGTTTAATACCAGAACAAAAATGGTCAACTCAATTACTTCAACTCCTTTAATAAAGGTTGCTTTAAAACACTGACACCGTAGCAGAACATTCAAATCGTAGTGTGACAAGACTGATACTGAAGTGTTAGGATAGTTGCAGAGTAGCCTAGTATTGTTGCTGTTACATTAAGTTAGTATAAGTATTTAATGACAGCCTTTTACTCTATGCAACAAAGGTGATGTCTCAAACAAAGTGGTGAGGTGCAGTTCAGGATAAGGTAAAAATAATAATACTTTGGAAGTTGTTCCTGACTCTGACCTTCTTATTAGCAAAGACTTCTTGGAGAGGGTTGGCAGTGGACGGTACCAGAGCACAGAGGACATGGGACCCAAAAACACAACATGCAAACTCAAACACACTGTGACTAATAATCGCTCATATTTTTTGGTTATTTATTTAGGAACACACAGTCACTGCAGGACCAGCTGTCACCATTTGGTGTAGCGCCAGACTGAAATACATATACTGTGCCCGATTTCTCACTCGCTTTCTCACAAATACACACACAAAGTGAGGAAAGGGGTGAGAGAGTGGGCAGTAGCGGGGACACACAAGCTATCGTTGTTTTCAGAACCGGTAGATAAAAGTACTTTCATGGCCAAATAAGGAATAGAAATCGGATGCCCCAAAGCACCCAGTTTCCTGCAGTGCTGCACTGCTGTTCATCTCATTGTCAGCTGTGCTCGTATACCTGCCACCACACAACAACACTCAGCACTCTGGAGGCTTTACCAAACAGTGGCTCTCCTCCAGGACCCGCTTTATAGATGCTTTTATTTCTTTTTCTCGTGCTCAGATCTTTGCTCTCTGTTTTCAATCTTGTTCTGCTGCATTGTTGTCTCTGTGTGTATCAGTTATTAGAGAGATCTCTGTGGTTTGCTAGTTATGCGTTTTTTCCCCTTACTGATTCCCTGAGTAAATGTGTGTGTGTGTGTGAGCGAGCATGTATTCATATCTTTGCGGGGACCAAAGTTCAAAGTTTACTATACTTGTGTGGACCAGCAGCCGTTATGGGGACCAGAATCCTGGTCCCCATAAGTTTGAAGGCATTTTTGAGACTCAAAATGTGTTTTTAGTGACAGGGTTACAGTTGGGTTATGGTAAGGGTTAGGCATTCGTTTTTCTGGGTTAGGGTAAGCAGCTAGGGAAAGCATTATGTCCCCACAAGATATGAATACCCAACAGTGTGCATGTGTTTGTGTTTCAGATGCCAGCCTGTCAGGGTTTTCTGTTCTTTATAGTGCGATGTTAAAATAATTTAAATTACAAGATGGGTTGAGAACCCTGTTAGAGTAGCAGTTGTAAATTATTAAGCTAAACCAGTCAGTCGTAAGGTCAGCTCCATAATAGGAAGGATTCTGCCACAGGGAAATGGACAGCTGCAGGCATGACACATATGAGTGGTATAGATCTTCATGGAGCTTCTTAGATCTGTGTAATGTATAACACATTCCCTGTGTAATGAACAGGGGATGTAAATCTGTCCTGCCATGATGGAGGCAGTGCTGCTGCTGCAGAACTGTTTTTCTTCACTCTGTCTTGCTTGGGGACATGATATACTGCTGACTCAGAACCCCGAGCCCCTTCAGTTCCACATATAGGCTACTGTGTATTACTGCATATATCTAAGCAGAATGTCCAGAAAACATGACTATAGAAAAACACAGTAGCTTGTCAAATATCCTCAGCACAATTTTGGGATGTGATTATTACCATGAGGAGAAATCGTCATCTCTAAGCAGTTTAGACCATTTGTGTTGGTGCAGCTTGGTGCAGGCATTTGAATATTACGATGGTTATGATAAAGCTGCAATTTTGAACTGTGAAGTTTGAGTACAAGCTCCAGGTTCCTTCCCCTTGCTTTTTTGCTGTTTTCATCCTATCAAGCAGAAGTGTAGCTAACTTGGGATCCATCTTCAATTCTAAATATGGAAGCGCTTCCCTGAAAAACACATCATCTGGATGGGATCCACTACAGAGGATGTTGTGTCCATGTTTTCAAAAAGAGCTTCAGATTTGGGTTTGTCGTCTACTTTGTCTCAGTCCATTTTAAATGAGCTTTGGCCCCGAGGAGGTGGCTGTGTTTCTGTGTTTCATACACAATGGAGTGATCTCCATGACAGGATCATGCTTGTTTTTAGGCAGACCACCTGAAGTTCCAGAGATCGCAAGCAACCAGTACTGATTTCAGCCTCCTCTGCAGAAATGTTGCTGTTTTGATGATATTATGCACCGTAGCTACTGACATATTCAGTCTTCACAGTTTTATGTTGAGGAACATAAACAATAAGTCCCAGTTGTCTCAGTTTAAACATTTGATATGGTTTCTATGTTTGGTAGTGAATTAAACAAGGCTTTATGAGCTTTGCAAATCATAGCATGCTGTTTTAAATTGTAACTCTTCCTCTGCCAGGGTGTCCAGATGTAAAAAAAAGAGCCAGTACACCTAAAGGTGGAAGATTAACACATAGGTGCTCATGTTAGTGTAAATGTGTCTTCTCTCCTTTAAAGAAAGTAAACAGAAACATATCTGAGGCTGATCGAGCAGCCACGTGTCATCCTAATCACCTGCTCGACCAATCAGTGGAAGACAAACTTCTGCTCCTTCCACATGGCAACGCCTCAGTTTAATCCAGGTTGTTTGGCTTTGGAGAAACTGTTCCAGCTTATAGCTGTTCCTAAATGGAAGAGCATAAAGAAATCCCTCGTATAACACCCTGCTGCACATAAACCTTAGTAGCTGGTGTGCAGCAGTCTCATTGAATTTAAATCCCTCAACCTCTTAATCTAACCCAGATTTAATGTTATGGATAATTCTTTAGCTCTCAGAGGTTTGTGTCATATCAGTGAGCTGATAAATGATGTTGTCTTTCTGTTCAGAAGGAAGTATTTGCAGACAAGACATAAGATGCAACACCCACAGTCATAATGTCAGGCATGCAATGTTGTTGTCATAGACACACTGAGAGCGGTGGCCAGAATTAGTTATACAAGCATAGTTAGATGAAATATTCCAGGGTCTCTGATTGTGTAGTGTAACTGACACCACTAACGGGAGGCACAAACGCACGTTTCCAAAAAAGTGATCCTAATATTCTAAAATAAGAAGCTAACAAAGGCTTGTTGTGTTCTACGGTTTTCTATTTTCAGACTGTGATTTTTATTCTTTTATTCGCTCTTTTCTCTTGGGAAAGTTGTGATTCTGCACAACTGTGCAGAATCACAACTTTCCCCACTCTGACAAGAAATAGCAGTAAAAAGCTTCCTGTCATCGGAATCATTTAGCCATCCATTGCCCATCCTCATCTGTGCCCTGTTGGCTGATGTGCGTGTCGTTTTGTATGTCTGTCTGCTTTTTGCTTGTCCTATTTAAAGTATTATTTTGTGTTATGTTTTATTGTGATGAAAGATTGTCCTATATGCATCAAATGATTTTAAATGGATCCGTACTTTATTGTGAAGGAGGCTAATCGTCTAATAAAAGGGAATTTTGTTAAGTGACGTGAGATGGTTGTTGTAAATTGGCACAGTGTAAATTAGACCACATTTATCTAGATTTTTATCATATGGGAGGCTCTGTGCTCAAAGCATTTAAAATCGAGAGAATTTAGTCATGTTTGTTTCCTACGTTTGATTAGAAATGAAGATGAGAGGTTTGACTGAAGTTTAACCTGCCTACCATCTCACATGGGAGACATGTAAAAATTTTCCAACTGACGACAGCTGATATATCCACGCAGGTGACCTTTTGATGGGCGGAGCAATGTGATCATCCACGGACTGATTTGCGGGTTTAGAATTTATGCAGTTTTTTTGGAGCTTCTTGTCTTGTTGGTTTCATTATTAAAGCTACTTTTTGTGGATTAATCATTTATTTATTTGAGATGTGCCAAATCGCACAAAAAACAACATCAAAAAACAACATTACGTCAGAGTTTTTGTTTTGTTTTGGGGGTTTTTAACGTTCGCTGGAAGAGAAAGTTTGATTTTAAACTTACTTTTTGTTTAATTATGTATTTGTTGTTTTGTCGAGTGTTTAAGACAGATAAACACTGGAACAGCCTGTAAACACGGTGGGAAAAAGAAGCCAGTGTCTCTGTTTCCCTCCCCACCATTATTTTTTTAAATTTATTTTATTTAAATAAAATGTTTTAGTTTTTTCCTGAATGTAGGCTGCTGCCTTTCTTTCTTTCTGTTATGAGTTTGAGAAAACAAATCGCTGCATTTGGGCGCGCTGTGAGGAGGGTGTCATTAAAACAGCGCTATTATTTTTTGCGTTGACCACTTCTCTTGGCTTCAACCAACATTATTAGCAAACTTACCCAGGGGCAAAAAAAATGGATCACTCTTGTAAAAACGATCGGTAAAAGGCTCAGCCTATCGTTCATAGTCGATACATTCATCCAGTCGCCTACTGCGCCCTCTCTCTGCCGTCGTTCTATCCATGAGGCTGTCAGACAAATAATAAAGCATATAGCTTTGCACCAGTAGAAATGGTGTCTCCCAGGTCATGTCGTTCTTATAGTTTTATAATGAAACTGTAGGTTTCTCACTTTGTCATTTTGAACTGAATGCTAACACTCCACTCTCTCAGCTCTGTAGTAAAAATGTTATATCAGTTTCTGCCAAACTGTGTGTTTGGATTCAAATGTGAGCTCAAAGGTTCCTTTATTTTTCCCACTCTTTCTCTCTCCAAACGTCAGGTGGTCACAGCCATTGTGGAATCTGGTAAGAACATGTCAGCAGAGCAGAAGAAGACCGATCGCTGTCCACTCCTCTATGAGTGGCACAAGAAGCAGTACATCGGCGCTGCCCACGGCCTGGCTGGCATCTATTACATGCTGATGCAGGTAGGAGAAAACAGAACGCGGTCTGTTTAAAGTCAGTGGGTTTTTAAAAACGAAAGATTATTTTATTCCTCTGTGTAAATAAGTTCGAAAGTATTGCTAAAGCTAATGTTATCTGTCATGTAGTTATTTATGGAGAAACACTCAAAGCTTCTGATCTTCTGGTTGATGATGCACAATAAATTGTGTCATTTTGCTACATCAGAGAAATGAAAGTATTTCTTATTGATGTTTTTTTCCAAATAGACTGACTTTCATTCTAGAGTAACATTTAATATCACTTGTATATAAGATCACGCATTTATATACTGTAGCCACAAACACACACGCATAAATGCACAAAGTGACATCCATGTAAGTGAATCCAGGTAATGTGCTCGCAGTGTTGTTGAATCTGTATTTTTGCTGACAGCTCTCGCCTGCAGCCCGTGCTGCAAGCCACCTGCCACCTTCTTTGTGAGCACTGCAATCTAATTATTGAGGAAAAAACAATGAAGAGAGGCCAGAGACTGGATCCAGATTTCTCTGTACTCATTTTTTATGTATATGTTTACTGAAAAAAATATATAATAAAAGCACCAAGTATGAATTTTACTTTACCTGAAAGAATGAAGGATTATTAGCTGGAGGATTATGTTTTCCTTAGTGCTGTTATATCAGAATGGGCTGAAATCTGTTATTGATTATAGATTTGGGCAGATAGACTCTTTATCAGTATTCGGTATTTGGAAGAAGAACTGTTTGATTAGTGGTGTTGGCAATCAGTAAGTCATTGATTTAAGGTTTTCTTAATGTCTGTTGTTTCTTACTGTTCTGGGCTTAAAGCCAGTAGAGGAGCTGAGACTTTCTGCAGGCAGACATCCTGTAAGTGTTGTTGGCGGCTAAGATGAAGCAGTTTTGTGTGAAATCCTGCCGAAGCATGGCCTACAAAGAACGACCAAAGTGTTCCCACTGTGCATTCAAATGCTACTGGGTATTGTTAGCAGCTAGAAATGTGTTTTAGATATATTCATATATGCACACATGTCAAATTCATGGTCGCAGAAGGACTCGAGCTTATCCCAGCTGTCACATGCATACAGTATGTTACTGTGTGCACGTGACCTTCTCTGTACTCTGATAAAGGTCATCATTTATTAGTTTTCAAGCAATGTAATTCTGAAAATAGTCACAACAAATACATTACTTAACAGGGCAGCCACACTGCTCAGTTCAGATGTGTCTTGAGATTGTATTGTGTGTGTGTGTGTGTGTGTGTGTGTGTGTGTGTGTGTGTGTGTGTGTGTGTGTGTGTGTGTGTATGGGCTATAAATGCTTACTTAAACCTTGACTTATTAGGCTTATTAGGCTTATTAGACTTATTAGACGTTGGCAGTCAGAAGTTTAAAGTAACCTAATGAAACATGTTTGACCAGAAGACAAGAATTCATACTCTAATTATGATAAAAGTTGACACTAATGTCAGCACAATAAAAGGTCAAAGATACAGATAAGGTCTGGACCGTAGAGAGACATGAGCGACCAGCCAGGGACTGGAATCACATGGTTTTCAGCATTTCTGGTGCTGGCCAGGGATTGGCACACACCGACAAAAAGTCGTACGCACCCTGACGGCCGCACACTAACATGTCCTTGTAGTGAAGGTATAAACTGTTCCAGCTAGTTATATAAATCTATTGGACGTGCTGTTGTTTGAAAATTCATTGCTGTACACTCACCTTTACCTTTATGTAATTGTTTGTACCTGTGGGGTGCCAGTTTAGCTCAGGGGTGAGCCATGTGCCGTTTGGCAGGGGAGCAGCGCTTTGCCCCCCTCTCCCTCTTCCAGTTTTTCTGTCACTCTTTGCTTTCACTGTCAGATAAAGGCAAAACATTTCATATGGCCAAAATAAATCAGAAAAAACTGTAAGTAGCAAAATCTGACTGAGTAAGAATACAAAAAGATGGGTGGCAACACAGCAGATCGCCATGGCAACAAAGATGATTCCATTATTCATCTTGTGATTTATAACAATAGCAAAAGCCTGATTTCAAGTAGCTCACTGAAATCTGTCCACAGACTTTTGTGTTTTCTCTGCTGTTCACTGATGTTCTCATTAACACATGAGAATCCATCTTTCTCTGTATGAATAATTCATGACTGTAGCAATCAAAGTATGTGTTGAGTCCGTTTAGATCTTATAAACATCTGCTCTGAAACATCTGCTCTGAAAAGCTGTGTTTCACCAGCTTTTCTGCTGCCGTTAGGAAAGGTGATAGTCACCTCCTTTTGGGGCATTTAAAGAGAATTCTGTAAATGTAGAGCTGAACAGTACAATTGAAATTAAACACTGTCCCTTTCAGTCTGGAGCAAAAGTCCATCCAGACGTCCTGTCAGAGTTGGTTCGCCCCAGCATCGACTACGTCCGCCACAAGAGGTTTCGTTCAGGAAACTTCCCTTCATCCCTGAGCAACGAGAGCGACCGGCTGGTCCACTGGTGCCACGGAGCGCCCGGTGTTATCCATATGCTTATCATGGCCCATAAGGTGAGAGCTCTGCGGTCAGCAGCCACCCTCTCTGTCTAACACGCACAAACAACACTGTCACCTTGTGGCACAGCTCTACACTGCATGAACAGTTTGTGTTAAACATATTTGTGAAGCATGTCAAAGAAAAATCATGTTGTTGATGGGATGTTGTTTCGCCTGGCGTCTAACACTTTGGCTAATTTCGTTTTTTTCTTGGTCCATTAGGAAGCTACATCACAGCCAACATGCTGCCATTCTGGCATTTTGCTCTTACTAATGAGACTCTGCTTTTTATTTTTTGCTGTTGTTTTGGCACAGTGAACAAAGCACTGCACTTAACAATGTTCCGCTATTAACAGAACACAACAACTGTGCCGTTTGTGTCACGCGTTTAAACATTTAAACTGCCACATGTTTTGTTAGTGGCAGATTTCAGGTCGGCTGTTGAAACTATGCTGCATGCACACGTTGTGCTCCCACTGATGGAGTTGTGTTTTTACAATAATGGACAGCAAGTTGAATGATTTCAGAAAATACGATCCTGTTCATGAGGCAGAATAATGGTGATGTATTATCACAGAGGGATGCTCCATTATTAGGGCTTGAAGTTCTCTTTCACTGTCCTGGATCTCCATAAATGTGATGTTTGGACTAATTTCGCAATTATTTGACAACAGTAGGCATACTGTGTCATATTCATAGTCTCAACCAAGACCTATTACATTATTTTATGGCTCTGACAGTGTTGCTTGAATGCAAAGAAGCAGCCATACATCAAAATGATCCAGAAAACACTGCTTTGTTCTGCAGTCTGATGACTGAAAAAAATGTCACATCCTTTAGACTAAAGAAGAGAGGTACATCCGACATGCATCACTGCCTCTGCTGCGTTAGCGCTTATGGAACCGGCACGTTGGCAAGCCGCCATCAGCGGCTTTTAAAGGAACAGATGCTCCCATACAGAAAACATCGTGTTCTTGGACAGCCTTCCATATTCGATGATATCAACTGATATCATCAAACCCATACAGACATTAAGTTGTTTTCGGACAGTCAGGGGTCACTGCTTCCTAAAATAGCCGGTATTTTCCAGCTTGTTATCACCCCTAGTGGAGTGTTGGTGAGCACCCTGCAGGTTACAAGGGAAGAATACATCATGAGTTAATTTTAGCAGCATCAGAGTTCACCACAGAGACATGAGCTCGTATAAAATCAACATGGCTGAAGTTACTTTAACCATGTAGCTAAGGATTCGTCTGCATGTCATATATAGTCGGGTTGTAGGAGTGGATCTAGTTGGTAGCTGTAATAGGTGACTTGTGCCTTGCTGTGTGAGAGGAATTTTCGGGATAAGTAGGAAAGGCGAGGGTGCATGGTTCTGCTTTCAAAGGAAAAGGAGAATTCTGAAACCGAACATGAGCTGCTGGTGTGTTCGAAATGAGAGCGCAGCAGCAGTTTATAAGATTGGCTGGTTCCGTGTATTCAGGTGGAAACAGAAGGAACTGTCACTGGGATGAGTTTTAAAAAGCGCAGGTTGTTAATAGTGGATTGTTTCTTTTCCTGCTCCTTTCCTGTAGCTGATGTTTCTGTGTTACAGCTAAAAGCTAATAATAATAATAGAGAGAGGTGGGGCCGGATACAATTTCTTCTACATTACATGGCAGCTCTGTAGAATGCAGCTTTTCAAAGCGCTCCCTGCTTGACATCATCACGGACCTCACACAGCTGTGGGAGACTGGCTTATATAATCACATCCAATCAGGCACACTGTCAGGTCTGCACTGTACTCCTACTGTGTCCTGTCAGCTTCATACCTGTCTGATAGGTCGTCTGTCACCTCAGTTATGAGTTCAAGTCGCTTCGCTTTAGATTAATTTATTTCTTTGAAATGAGATCTGGATGAGTGGTTACATTTAGTTTTCATGTAGGCAGAGTCTTTATCTCTTCTGCGAGGACCATACAGCGTCAGGTTTGTAGATATTATATGGGCTGTCTGATACAGGGGTTACATTTACTGCTGGTTGCCTTGAGTTGACGGTGCTTTCAGATTATGAAGTGTTTTCACATACAGAATGCAGTTTGGGGTTTGTTTGTTTTTAAATTGCTACGATATTTAACAAAAAATGTCAAAATGCTGACTGCATCTGTTACGAGTTGGCAGTAGCTGTTGAAAGGCTGACAAGGTTTGACTATCCTGTCGGCTTCATCCTGTGTTGCCAGATTTTTAAAGAAGAAAAGTACCTGAAGGAGGCTGTAGACTGCGGCGAGGTGATATGGCAGCGGGGCCTGCTCAGAAAAGGCTACGGTATTTGCCATGGAACCGCTGGCAACGGATACGCCTTCCTGTCTCTCTACAAACTCACCAAGGAGAAGAAATACCTGCACCGCGCCTGCAAGGTAAGACCGAGGGTAAACAAAACAAGAAGAACAAGTAGTAGACTAAATATGCACAAGCAAGAAGTGGCTCTAAAGATGCCGTGGTTAAAACTGTTGTGGATTCGTGCGTGATATGATTTTTTCTGAATAATTTAAGCTGCCCTGTTTAACAGACGTAACGTTGGTCATGGCATTAAATGTATGTTCGTATTGGACACCAGAGCACCGTGAAGCCTGTTGAGAGGAGACCTGTAATGTACAGTCTTCTTACTCGTGTTTCTAATCATATGACACAGCAGCTTTTCAATGTGTGTAGAAACACCAGTAACTGCAAATGTAAAAAAGTACACAGCAGACAGCATGGTGGTATAATAGACTGTTAACAGCTGATCTGTGGCTAAGAGACGAGCTGCGTCTCCTTTCTGGAGGTTTTGGTTTCTTAAAAATAAGAGGAAACTGGGTGGCCTCAAGCTGACATGTTTTGCCTTAAAAGGAAATTTTGTGCCACTATCTTTGAAAAAACAAGTCCAAATTGAGTTTTTTTATTCCTGGTTTCTTATATTACGGCTCACTATATATCATGATGTACTGGGGAACTACAGGAGTCTAACAATGCCATGGAAATGTTACCATACAGATTTTTGGTCATACTGCCCAGCACTGTCTTTGTCTCATGTCAGCTTTTTCTAACAGAGATCCAGCATGGGATTTATCATGTAGTCTTTCCACTCCTTACCTAGCTTGGTTAGCTCAGTGCATCTGTCATTACTATAGCAACCAGACTGTAAACATGTTTGTTTGCACTGTAAAAGTTGGGCTTTTTGACATGTTTTTAAAGTGACTTGTTGACAACCAACGTAATGAGCCAATTTTATTACATGATTCATGTGTGCCCCTCACATTTGGCAGAAGGTTGAACACTGAAGACTTATAAAAGCAAGTCTATTTTGTTGTTTTTAAGAAAGAATGATGTTCATGTGTGCTCTGTTTTTATATTCTAACAGTTTGCTGAGTGGTGTTTGGACTACGGGACACATGGGTGTCGTATCCCAGACAGACCATACTCCCTTTTTGAAGGTACCTAATTCGTATTGATTTAATATTTCACATATCGTCTGTGTCATATTCGTCTGCATCTTCTTCTGTCTGTGTAGCAGCTACTCAGCTGTAATGGGTGAAATTTTCCTTACATTTCCACACATGTGTAATGTTACATCAGGAATGATGGAATATGACTTTATTTCAACCATTCACCCCTGTAGCACAGTGTGGAAGTGGTTAGCACCATGGCCTCATATCAAAAAGGTTCCTGTGTGGAGATGTGGTGCTTCTCCCTGTGCCTGCACAGGTGCTATAGATTCATCCCACAGTCCAAAGACAGTAGTTTTATTTGTGAATCTAAACTGCCCATGGATGAGAGGTAGATGAAGTGCTTAAAGTAGATAAAATAAATATAAAATACATATAAAATAAATAATATAAAGTATATAAAATAAACTGATTTATGAATTATGCTTAAATGTGACTTGTAATCTGAAGTGCTTTGCGTAGTCAGTAAGAATAGAAAAGAATAAATGCAGTATATGATTAAAAGTTCCTCAGTAGATAAGCCTTTGTGTTTATCTAATAAGCATTTTCTGTTGCTTGGAGGTCTGTAATTTAGTAGATGTCTGACACGTAGCCACATGCAGTTGGTTGGTTATTTGGTTGTGAAACGGTTATGATCAGATCACAACATCCACTCTAGGTACCAGATGATGTACAGTATATGATGTTGTCATTAAACTCTGTCTCATCGTGTGTTGCATGGTAAGCTTATTTCTACGAGCCTCTGGTCGATCAGAAGTTACTGTGATCTATTGCAGCGTGTTAGCACAGCTGCATTATAACAAAAGGTTTTAATCTGTTGGCTGTCTGTGGAGCTTTCAGAGGTCTGAAGGCAGAAGAGTGCTCTTTTGCTCTCCAACCAAAAATAGGTGTAGAGGACACGGCTTTTTCAGCTTAAGCTTTCAACTTCAGCAGATTGCTTTTCACCTTTAACTTAAACAGCAAAAATGGCATACGGTGAAATGTGTATCCAGCAGTAATGACTGTTTCTCCACTTAGGTATGGCAGGAGCCATCCACTACATATCAGAGATGGAAAACCCCGAAGCTTCGTGTTTCCCTGCCTTTGAACTTTGACCTGACAGCCCCTGACTTTGGATTACGAAGGGGAGGCTTAATATTTTCAAGTTAACTTTCCTTTAAAGGTACGCTGCTCAAAAAAAAATGAGGGGAACGTTTAAATCACACATTGGATCTTGATAAATGAAATACTCACTCTGAAAATCTTTAGTGTCATAAATGTTGTAATTATCTTGAGAACAAAATGATCTACTAACAGTGAGAACCAATATCATCCACCCTTTAAGGGTTTGAATTTAGAAACCACACCAAAAATCCAAGTTAAAAATAGAAATCACTGGCTCGTCTGACCTGCATCATAGTGTGGCTCAGCAGTATGTGTGGTCCCCATGAGCCTACATGCGCTCTTAGCTGATGTCTTTAAATCTTGTTCTGGACTTGGATCAAGGCACCAGTAAACTTCTGGACAGTGTGTGGCACTGTTTGGTGGGTTTCGATGGACCAGTGCATAATTTTCCTGAGAATCTTCATATCTGAGAAGCACGGGGGCCTATATCTGGCGTCAGTGCCTTCATCATCCAGGAACTGCCTTCATTCTAGCCGGCGGAGGACAGACATTGTTGTGCACTAAGAGGATCCCAGGGCTTGCTCCAGCATGAAGTCTGACATTAGATATGTGGATTTCATCCTGATACCAAACATGCAGGTCTGTTTCACTATTTCCCATGTGAACATGCTGTCATCATAGGGCACTAGTGTGAGACCTCCCAGTTTCGGTGGTATCTGAGAAAAATCAGTCATGAGGATTAAGAGGAGAGCATTGGTCTGTGGCTGCAACCTGCAAAACCATTCCCATTTGGGAGTTGTCTTCTTGTTGCTTTTCCATTGTTGCCACATTCATGGCACCAAAACAGGTGAAATTAGTTGACCATGGTTTATGCTTCCAAGAGTCCTTGAAGCTTAATTGACTGTTTTATTCTGAGATCATAAAGTGTTCCCCTAATTTTTTGAGCAGTGTATTTTAATAAAACTTTCAGCCTTGGTCATGCGTAAGTAGTGACCAATATTAGACATTCAAACTGGAAATAAGTGCAACTGATTAATTATTTGTTGAATTAAAGACATGGTTAGCTTTTCTGTGATTAAAAATGTACAGGGAATGTTTTTGGACAAAACTACACATTCATTTATGGAGGTGTAGATCGATGGAGCGCGACCATCGTATTGCCTCTTTTTCTCTTGCTGAAGATAGACACTGGATCTGATGTTGGAACGCTGTCAGAACTCGCCAATAATGTGCTGAGAAAAAGACATGGACCTCATGGCTCCCCATCAACACATTATTGCCAGCTGGGCTTGGTCACAGGAGCACATTCTAAGCACTCAGCCTTTAATATTGTAGCACTTAGGCCAAGAGAGCAAGTGTGGGTCTGTGTGTGAAGATGTGCATCTCTGTCAAATGAACTAAAGCTGTTGTGGCATGCTCACTGTTATTGGCTTTTGGTGCCTCATTGTGTGTCAGTGTAGTAGTTATTCTTCCTGTATTTAGGTGTGCTGTTTCAGTTCTTCATGTGTTGATCGCATAGTAGGCAACATGTTTCTTTGCCCTCTTTTATTTTATTAACGAGTATAAAGTAGCTCAGTGCTCTCAAGCTGACCGTCAGCTCTAAAGTCCGTCTGCAGCTTTTCTGTTATAAAAATACATGTTCCAATTATTGCAGTGATTCACAGTTTTAGTGTCAACTTTGCAATAGATGTCATAACATGTATATTTCGGCAATACTGGGCTTTGACTAATTTTGATCTTTTTAAAGGCTGAATAATTGCCTAGCATACATCTCAAAGAGGGAAAAAAAACATGAGCCAAGTGCAAAACTGAATTAATTTGGTTTTTGTGAAATAAAAACAGGGTCAAACTTGTATGTACTGGCTCGAAAATGTTCAAACATCTGCTTGGATTATTCAGCCCAGTGCTAATGAAAGTGTCAAAGCCTCTTCAATTCCTCTTAGTGACTGGCTGTATGTGGTTTCTTCTTTCTGTCTGGTTTTGTTTGACACCACTGAACAACTTAGTAGTCTGTGTTCAGGAAAAAGTGTATTTTGGATCTGAGTTATACAAGTCAGGTATATTTATTAAAGAACTATAGATTCAAAAATCAGCTCAAACAATTGGACAAGTTTGGAGCACTACATCACATCCACTTTGCTATGGTCTTAAAAACTTTTCTTTCTTTTTTTTTTGCATTTTGAACCAATTGCGGATGAAAATTACTTCTTCATTTATACAAGAAAAAATGATTTGCAGTTCCTGGTCACAATTCTTTCAGCACTGGTTTCATTTTGGTAATGGATCTGTTGGAAGAAGCATGACTATAAGGTTCAAATGGTTGAAAGTTGAACAACATATAATTCAGTCCATCTTCTTCTGCTGATCCGGGGTTGTGCTAAAGCAGAGAAGCCCAGACCTCCCTCTCCCCGGCCACCTCCTCCAGCTTGTTGGGGGAACACCAAGGTGTTCACAGGCCAGCTGAGAGATATAATCTCTCCAGCGTGTCCTGGGTCTGTCCTGGGGCCTCCTCCCGGTGGGACATGCCCGGAACAACTCGACCAGGAGGCATCCTTGTCAGATGCCCGAATCACCTCAACTGGCTCCTTTTGATGTGGAGGTGCAGCGGCTCTACTCTGAATCCCTCCCAAATGGCCGTACTTCTCAACCTATCTCTAAGGGAGAGGTCAGCTACCCTTCAGAGAAACCTCGTTTCCGCCACTTGTAACGCGTTCTCGGTCTTTTGGTCACTACCTACAGCTCCTGACCGTAGGTGAAGGTAGAGACGTAGATCAACCGGTAAATCGAGGGCTTCACTTTTACACTCAACTCTCTCAAGTGCTAGCTGGAGGCCATCACCCGATGAAGCCAACAGAGCCACATAATCTGCGAAAAGCAGAAATGAGATTCTGAGACCACCCAAGTGAAAGCCTCTCACCTCTTGGCTACTCCTAGAAATTCTGTCCATAAAAATTATGAACAGAATTGTTGACAAAAGGCAGCCCTGGCGGAGTCCATCACCCACCAGAACCAAGTCCGAATTATTGCTCGCTATGCAGACCAAGCAGCAGTTGTATAAGGATCAAATGGCCCGTAGGAGTGGGCCAGACTCCCCATACTCCCAAAGCACCTCCCACAGGACACTGAGGGACGCGGTTGAGTGCCTTCTCCAGGTCATCAAAACACATGTAGACTGGTTGGGCAAACTCCCATGAACCCTCAAGTGTCCTCTAGAGGGCAAAGAGCTGGTCCAGTGAACCACTACTTTATCGTGGTGGAGGGGTGTGTCCCAGGGATCCTAGGGGCTATGTTGTCGGGGGGCTTTTGCTCCCTGGTAGGGTCTCGCATAGCATATTGGTCCTAGGTGAGGGACCAGACAAAGAGCGATTCAGAAGACCCCTATAAGTATAAAATCAAGGGAACAGTTCACCCTGCCCGGGATAGGGTTGGTGTTGGTGTGTCTATGGCGTTATTTTTGTGCCACTATTCTGAGAGCACGTAAAAAAAAATATTGTAGGTGCAAGTGTTGTACTTTGAGGAGAAATTTATTTTGAGCGAAGAAAAGCTAAATTTGAGTGAACAAAATTCATTGCTGCGTGCAAAAAATGTATTTCAGTGTTTGCTATTATCCACACACACACACACACACACACACACACACACACACACA